TCATAAATCAGAAGGCTCTAACAGACATCTATAGAACATTCTACTCAAACACTAAAGAACACATTTTTTTCTCAGTAGCTTATGGAACCTTAAAAAAAGAAAGAGATAAAGGACTCAATATTATCAGAGATGAAAGGGAACACATTACAGCAGATATTGAGGAAATTCAGTGAGTTAAGAACATACTCTAAACGTCTACATTCTGAGCCCAGTGAGATGGCTCGGCAGTTAGGAGCATGGGCCCTTCTTCAGTGGAATGAGATTTGATTCCTAAAACCTACATGGTGCCTCACAACCATTTGTAACACTAGTCCTAGAGGACACAATGCCCTTTTCTGTTCATCTTAGGCACAAGACATGTACTTGGTGGACAGACATACATGCAGACAAAACACCCATACACATAAAATTAACAAATTCAATCACCAAATATACATGCCTACACACATATCACACATATGTATGTATATGTGTGTGTTTGTGTACTACTAAACTAACAAAGTTAAATCACAATGAAGTTAATAACCTAAATAGAATAAATAGATCCATATAATGGGATAAAAGCAGTCTTTAAAATCCTTCAACTAAAAAATTTCAAGTACCAGGTGGATACAGTGCAAAATTCTACCAGATCTCTTCAAACAAGAACTTATCACCAATATTCTTCAAATGAGTCTCTAAAACAGAAGAGGAAGGAACACTCCTAATTTCTTTTTACAAAGCCAGTATTATCCCTATATCCTAATATTAGACAGATATCCAAAAGCAACAACAAAATTTTCAGCCAATTTCTATGATGAATATACATGCAAAAATTATCAATAAAATATTTTCAAACCCAATCCACTATGATCAAGTCAGCTTTGTCTGAGAGATTCAGAGAAGGATCAATACATGTAAATCAATAAAGATAATATATTTCATAAAAAGACTCAAAAACAGAAACAACACGATCATTTTATTAGATGCACAAAAATCCCTTTGACAAAACCTAATGTTCCATCATGATCAAAGTCCTAGAGAGTCTAGAGATGCAGGGGACACACTTCAACATAATAAAGACAATATACAGCAAGTCAGCAACCAATATCTTACTAAATAGAGAATTTGAGACATATCCACTGAAATCAATATCAAAACAAGGATGTCTATCCACTTCCTCCATTTCTGAATGACAGCGCTTGAAGTCTTAGCCAGAGCGTAAGACAAGCGAAGGCAATAAAAGGAATACAAATAGGAAAGAAGTCAAAGTAGCCTTACTTGTTGATGGGAATACCTGCAAGATATCCTAGTTAACTCAATGAAAATGCTGGAGGCCCAACTACTCCATTGGCCTCACTGCCCAATGTGATTCTTGGGTGCATTTCTGCAAGTTACAGGTCACACACCAATGGCATGCTTTGTACAGGTAGCTGTCCACGTGTCGAGCTCTCTCTTCCAAGCTTCTTCTCTTCATTAAACCACACACACTGACACTGACAGGAAACCAATGTGGTCTTCGACTCAACTGTGTTGATCAGGAAAGAGTTTTGAATGAATCTCTTACTACTCTTTTGTATGGGATGTAAATAACACAGGCCAACAGTGAAAAGACCACAGGCTGGTAGGCAGAGGCAGGCTCTTCAGCAGCTGGGTTGGCAGTGGTAGGTAGGTCTTCTGAGAAATAGCCTCATTTTTGTGAGAAGTCTCTTTATGGCCAAGCTGATGACAGGTTCCCAGGATGCTGAGCAAAAGGATGGTGCTCATGGCTTTGGACTGAACTCCTTCAGGAGCTGGCATCTTCAGACAAACCCTACATGTGGGCACTCACATTCAGTGCTGCACAATCGAACTGAAACTGAGACAAATCTCAAGATAGACAACTTTTCCAGAAACTGTGAGATTCGAGGCTCCCTGAATCAAGGTCAGGCAATTATTTTTCAGGAAATTGCTGTTAGACAATTGAGGGTTTTTTTTTTGTTGTTGTTGTTAGTGGTGGTTTTTTCTTTTTCTTTCTTCTCTCTCTCTCTCTCTCTCTCTCTCTCTCTCTCTCTCTCTCTCTCCTCCTCCTCCTCCTTCTTCTTCCCCCTTTCTTCCTTCTTTTCTTTCCTTTTTTTAGTTGTTTTGTTTTCTTGTCCCCATTGTAAAATCAAATACTGGTATTTACCAGAATTCTCAGTTCTCATTCTGTTTTATTTTTATGGAGGCTACCTAGATTTGTGAATCATAAAAATAAAGCCAAAATAGATATGCAAATACATGTTATAATTTAACCCTTTACAGCATTAAAGAATGCACAATCCAACTAATAATCTCAATTAAGTGTAAGGAACAAATAGGTTGTGAACCAAGATTGAAGGTCCTGACCTCTCTGTACCTACCTCCTTTTATCTTTGTATTACACACTGGAAGAGAGAGTTAAAAGTAGCGATTAGGACATCCAGTGTTCTCTCATTCTAGAGCTGCACAATAAACTTGGAATCCTTAAAACTTCATCTCTACTCAGGTGCCATTCAAGCCTTATTCTCTAAGGAAAGGGAAACAAGATGTTCTAGGAAGTAGTTTATCCATGATACAAATCAATTACTGAGTGGAGCACTATGGCTGAGACCCCAGACAGACTGGATAGGTAAGAGAAATGAAGCACAGGTCTGTGTAGTTTTAAAACTCCCATGGGAAGCAGTGGAGATTGATGGCACATAACTTGTTAAGCCTGGATGTTGGGAACAACGGGACAGAAGCCTGACAGTTCACTGTAGAGATGAAATGGTAATTGAAGGCTTTCGTCAGAGAGGAGGGGATAGGATTAGAAGAGGACGGCACTCTGAGCCATGGGAATTCCCATGGCATTCACTCCAGGTCTAGTTTGGTGTCGTGGTTCTGTCATTCCTCTCTCAGTGCACACCCTCATGAAACTTCTTGTCTAAGGTCTGCATGACCTTGACGTGCATTTGTCCATGCAACTGTTGACATGTGTTTGAATCTATGCAGTATGTTCCTGTAATTTCCCACTGCATCATACCTACCAGCAACTCAAAAAAGGAAGGGGAAACAACAGATGTTTCACAAAGACCGTGAGCATGAGCCCAATGTTGTATGAGTCACGGCAACCTATTATTTATGCAGTCTTCACTCTTAATGAGGAGACAAGACTTTCCCAATCATATATATATATATATATATATATATATATATATATATATATATTCCCAACTGTTTTTTTCTAAATATTTTCCCAACTGTTCTTCTCAGCCACAAGGATGATGCATCACAGAGGCCACTTCATGCCTGGAATCCAGTCCTGCTCTATGTGAATGCACTATCATCCAGACAGGAGTGTGTTGCTTGTCAGTACAAGGAAAATAACTAATGTTTAACAAGAGGGAAAGAATATTGATATTATTTGCTGTTGTCTTTTGGGCTGAAGAATAGAGTTAAATTTTAATAAATCTGTAGGCTAATAAAAATAGAGTGGAATAAATGTTTAAGATGAGCAAAGAAAATCATGAGTCTCCATCACGACCATGAAATGTACAGAACACAGTTATCCTTTTAAAGGTTTTAATATGTACTTAAAAATGGACAATTCGCATCACAGTTATGTACCTGTGATTTTGTTAGCTGTGAGGATTATGCATTTTTCCAGTAAAACAGATTCATGCTTATAAAAGTCACTATACATCAAGTTGTGACAAGAGAACTCACAGTAGGAATAGTCCAAGTAGCAAAGAGGGGGAGGCAGAGAGGTTATAAAGCAGTCACACCGTTGACACAAAAGAACAATAAATAAATACACATTTCTGTATGTTGAAGGCAATTCACAATCATTTCCAGGAATTCTGTGAGAATTTAAGGCCATTTGTTCTAAAGAAATTTAGACATAACTTCACAAAACTGTAATTCGTATAAAAACTGTACAGTGAAAACCATTTAGAATTGATTGTGAGCAGGCAAGCTAGGGGACAGGGATGGGTTCTTTCACAGCCAGGGGACAGAAACAAGTTTATTTCACAAATGGGTTATGTGCTAAGTCACAGGGCTGTGTACATTGAACTGAGAATTCACAAGAGACTTCAGCCTGTGCAACCCGTGTGGCAAAGTGGAATGGTGAGAACAAGAAACCCCAAGCAAGAGAGCCAGTATCCCTTTGAATTAAAGTATCTAGACAGGATACAACTGAATACAAAGTTCAAAATACCTGCTACATGGTTTGGAGTTACAGTCTTGGTTTTACTTGTTAAATGGCATTATAATGATGGTAGTTTTTATACAAAGTATATTCTGTGCATTTACAGTTTAC